CAACACATCTCTGCTAATGCAGCATCCCCCCCAGTGCCTGGCCGTCTCTGTTCTTGGTAGAGAGGTGGCAAGAACCAACTCGGTTCTCTGAAGCCTTGTGCTCACTAATACGGGGGTTTCTGGCTCCTCAGAGGCACAAGAGTAAACACTGGGAAGTTGCATGCAGGGTGTTTCCTTGGAAAACTGCCTCTAATATGCTGGTGGCTGCCCCCAGGGCCACAGACCTTGGGACTCTTAGGAATGTGGGGAGCTGTAGACAGTAAAGGACGGCTTATCCGCCACGCGACCAGTGACGACCGGCGACCAGCGCAGGCTTCATGAAAGAAGGTTCAATTCATGAGTAATAGCTAGTGAGTTTTAAAATAGAGACACACTCTGCCTTTAACATGAGCTCCGGGACGGCTTCTCCTAGCTCCCGCCACTTAATGCGGTGGCGAGGTTTACAGAAGAGGCTAGCGAGAGAGGGACAGCATGCCAGGGACTGAGCTTTTATTGGGGAACAAAAAATTCCAGGGAAAATCCCATCCAATGAAGGTCAAGGGGGCAGCATCCCAAGGTCAGGGACGACGATTGAGTCTTCAGGGCAGTGGCCAGGCACACCTTTGCATGGACAAAGCCTCAGACCTGGGGAAGGGTGGGGAAGGCTCAGATGGAGCTGTGTTTAAGCCCCCCTCAGCCAGCCAGGGAGGGAACTCAAATCACGTGCGAGGATGGCTTCCCACAGGCTTGCAGCTTTTTGTTTTGGTACCTGGGATTGAATTCGGGGCACTCGACCACTGAGCCCCTTCCCCATTTTATTTAGAGACAGGACCTCACCAGTGCTGAGGCTGGCTGTGTACTCTCCATCCTTCCTGCCTCTGCCTCCCAAACCGAGGCCGCTGGGATTAGAGGCTTGACCACCCCTCCCATCACAGAGTGTGATTTGCATGAGTGACGGAGCAGTAGGCCACCATCAATGAAGACAAAGAATGAGCTGTCAGGGAAACCCCAATTATAGACTGGGGGCTCTGTGTGTGTCCGTCCCAATATTTGTTTACAGTGATGTCTTACTGAGTGTCATGAAGGTGGCAGCTGTTCTGCGCTCAGTGCAGCAGGTAGACGGCCAGGGAGCTGCCTGGGGAGGGGTCAGGCCCAGGCTTGGAGCCCCGAGGTGAGCCAGGATCTGCCCGGGCAGCTTCTCAGGCTGTCAACAAGGACAGCAGGGAACGATGCAGCCCCTGACGATGGGACATCGCTAGAGTTGGTCCCACACCTGAGGTGAGCAGCCGCTCCAGGGCTGCTTAATGTGCGCAGAGCCTGGGGGTTCGTGATCAAGTCGCTGACAGAAGGATGACGACACCCTCTTTTCAAGAGCAGACAGTGGCCGGGTATTTAAACTGTGTAGGTCCAGCAGGGATAAGAGCTCTTCCTCGTGTGGCTGATGACCGTGGTGTCAGTATGTGATGTGAAGCGGGACAACACCTAGAAAGCAGTCTTGCTCCTCAGTGTAGGACGGAGTCTTTCCTGTAGCCATTGCAGGTTAATATCAAAGGCCAGAAACAGTAGAATGCACCCTGGGGCTTGTGGCACAGCTGTCACCTGAGGACTGAGCTATTGGCCCAGGAAGGAAAGTCCAGGGACAGTTTCTCCTAAATCTCTGTTGCCTGAGCACGTTCCCAGTAGAAAAATCCCAAATGGAACACTCTCGGGCCACCTGCATGTCCCTCGCCTTTGCTGTGTGCTTCCTGGCATGGGGCACTATCCACCTCGAGCTGTGTCTGACTCATGACAGTTAATAAGTACTGAGTTTTAGTTTGTTTTTATTAGTTGCTCAAGACAGTAATCTTATCATACAGTTGCTTCAAATAGGGTATGAATTTTCATTTTTCCACGATTACAGGGTCACATTGGTTCTACATCCAAGTGTGTAACATACAGCAATCCTAGTGTCAGGTGTATTGTGTCACCCATCTATTTTTCCTTCCCTTCTCCATGTATTTTGTGAACCCACGAGGGTCTCCTTTGCAATTTCTTTCCCTAGTAATCTTCTCATGCTCTTCCTACTGTTTTGAGTCACCTCTGTTATACCAGAGAGGACATTCGTTTTTTTGGGATTGGCTAACTTCGCTTAGCACAAGAGTTAGAATCAACAAATGGGACTTTCTCAAAGTTTTTTCTCGGCAAGAGAAATAAGTGAGGTAAATAGGGAGCCTACATCCTGGGAACAAATTTTTACCCCTTAGAGCACTAATCTCCAGAGTATACTAAGAACTCAAAAAAACAAATGGGCCAAAAATCTGAACAGACACTTCTCAGAGGATATACAATCAACTAGTACAGAGAAATGCAAATTAAAACCATTCTACTATCTCACTCCAGTAAGAAAGGCAGCCATTATGAAGTCACTAACAAGTGCTGGGGAGGAGGTGGGGGAAAAGTACACTTGTACATTGCTGGTGGGACTGTAAACTGGGGCAGCCAATTTGGAGGGCAGTGTGGAGATTCCTGGGAAAGTTGGGATGGAACCACCATTTGACCCCGCTATTCCCCTTCTCGGTCCATACCCAAAAGTACTGTTTTAAATGTGGTAAGACTGGCAGCCAGGAGGGCAGGGATGGGAAAACCCTAGGCTGAGTTGGAAGGCCACCATGTGGTTTTTCTTTTAAGTTGGACACAAAATGTTGATGTATTTTTATGTGGTGCTGAGGATCGAACCCAGGTCCTGCCCGTGCTAGGCAAGCGCTCTACTGCTGAGCCCTACTTCTATTCAGGGGTCTCAGGCTGGGGGCTGTTTCATGCTAGAAACTGAAGTCCCATGGGCAGCTGTTAGTCTATCACGTGCCTGGGCACGTAAAGTTCCATCTTAGAATTTCTTTAAAAATGAGTAGATTCTAACGAACACCTAAAAACAAATTTTGCATCTTAATGCAGTACTATGTACACATCTGCCCTCAAACTTGGCCTGTTCCCTTTCTTTGTATGGGGAAGCCACACCCCAGCCCTGTAAGTGGGAAGGAGTGGAGGGAGGCAGGTACAAAGGCAGCTGCTCAGTCCCCCAGGAGAGAGACCCAAAGGCTCCCTACTGAGCAAAGGTGAGACCATAGGAGTGGGTGCTGCAGGTGTTGAGGCCTGTATATGCTGCCCCATCTTCCTCCCTACTCTCTGAGCTTGTGTCTGTTCCTTTGTTCACGAACTGGGCCAAGAATTCAGTTAGCGTTTGAGTGAAAGGGAGTCTGGGGTTGCAGGAGCTCTGATGGCCTTTGCCTAAAGAACCTGCTGGGAGCTCACCACTGGAGCGCTCCTGGCAGTCCCCACGTGAACCAAGTCCTATAACTTTGGAAACTGTTAGAAATGTGGGGTGGCGCCCTCCAGTGGCAGTGCTTGGGTTATTCACACTTAAATAAGGTGGGGGGTGGCTGTGCCCCACGTACACAGGGATTGTGACTAAAGTGATGGGACAAAGAAAAGAGGTGCTTGGAAGGAATACGTCCCATTCGTTTTACCAAAGCAGTCCAGAGCTCCGTGAACACCGGGGCAGGGCCTGCAGCCATCCCCTCCTGTGCCACCAAACCACAGGGTCTCAGTTCCCCTCCGCCCATGGTGCTTCCCCTCCTCTGTCCGGCCAAGTCCTCTGCCACTTACCTGGGTCATTGCAGCCAACTGTCCCTTGCACATGCCCAGCACCCCCCCACCCCGCCCCATCTCTTTCCTCCCCCTGTAGCTTCTGCTGGATGATCCTCCCTTTGCCCAGAGACCAGAGCTCCTGCCCTTGTACTGTCGTAAGGACCTCCTGCCTCACGCATTTCTTCGGTAGAAGGCGGCCCCCGAGTCTTGTCTCTACCCAAGGGCAGCAGCGCCTTCCCAGGAATTGGGTCAGCTGGGGCTCCCAGGGATGGTTTGGCATCTGTTGTAGACCACTGGTTCAGCGGAGGCTGCAGACATGGTCCTTGCCCTTCGAAGGAACCAGGTTGTCCTCCCACGGGCTGACTCTTCCATTATATCTACAGAAATCACTGGCCCCGTGGTTGCTGACCACTGAGCTACCTCCCCAGCCCTTATACTTTTGAGACAGGGTCTTGCTGAGGGGGCGCCCTTATGATCCTCTCCCTCGGCTGCGCCTCCCCACCTGGCCCAACAGCATGTACAGACCGGCTCCCAGAGCTCGAGCGCATCGATAGCGGGACTGACATCTACAGAGCTGAAGCTGTAGGGACACTGGCTTTGGTCAGCATCACTGATAGGAACGGGAAACCTTCCTAGACCTCTGCTGGTCTGCAAATGCACCAAGTATTCACGGAGGATTGAAGGGGACCTGGGCGCTCACAGTGCCAGGGTGTGGGAGGCACTCAGTGTTGAGGACGGTCAGTTTTTTTAAGAGAATGAGAGAGACAACAAACAAGAGTGAGATTATGAGCGAGCGCGCAAACCAGAGTCCGAGAACGACCTAGTGTCAGTGTGTATGAGAGAACGAGAACACAGAAAGACTGTGCAAGAGTAAGGGAAAGAGTGTTTGAGAGGGAGAACGAGGAAGAGAGTGTGAGCAAGAGAACAAGCCAGAGCGCGCAAGAACGAGTGAGCGAGCGAGAGAACGACAGTGTGGGAGAGAGTACTTGAGTGTATGGGCGAGAAGTCAGTATGTGTGGCAGAGACAGCGAGAACAAGTGAGAACACGAGTGTTTGAGACAGTGACCAAGAGTGCGAAAGTGAGAATGAGAACAAATGAGACAGTACGAGATTTGTGAGACCACGAAAGACGCAGAACGAGAGGCAGGAGAAAAGGGGGAGAGTGGAAGACTGAGAAGGCGACAGAATGAGAATGTTGAAGGTTTAGTTCTCGGCAGACACCTTTGTATGTGGTGCCGAGGATGGAACCCAGGCCGCACGCACGCCAGGGGAGCGCGCTACCGCTTGAGCCACCTCCCCATTTACCACCTTTTTTCAGGGCCTGCGTCTAGAGGTCTGCAGGCTTGTTCCCCCGCTGTAGAGGGGGTTCTCTGTGAGTCACTTTGTCTCCTCAACCTAAAGTGACCCCCCTGACCTGGCGCCGACTCTCCACTCATCTGCAGGAGACGTTGCAGTGAAGATCCTGAAGGTTGTGAACCCAACCCCAGAGCAGTTCCAGGCCTTCAGAAACGAGGTGGCTGTCCTGCGGTGAGTCTGCCCTGGGCCCTGCACCTCCTCCCTCTGGAAGGTGGACACTTGTCGAGGCCCACTGCCCGGGGTGGCCCCGCTGTCTCTGGGTTTCTGTTTGAGGCGGGGAGGACCACCTTTGTTGCCAAGTTGCTTTCCCCTGGGTTTCAAAGACCAGGGGCCTCCCCCTCCCCCATGGAAAGTTGGGAGTGCGCTGGTCACAAGGTCTGTTGATGGGGCCAGCCCTGAGCTCACCAGGGCTCCTGCCGGGTCACTGGCCTGAGGCCTGGTGGGAAAGCAGAGCTCTCCTTCCCCCCAGCAAAACGCGACACGTCAACATCCTGCTCTTCATGGGATACATGACAAAGGACAACCTGGCCATCGTGACCCAGTGGTGTGAGGGCAGCAGCCTCTACAAACATCTGCATGTCCAGGAGACCAAGTTCCAGATGTTCCAGCTGATCGACATCGCCCGGCAGACGGCGCAGGGGATGGAGTGAGTAGCTAGGCCCTGTCACTTGGCACAAGTCTGCGGGTGCACAGGGCCAGGGAGCAGGAAAGGGGGTGGAGCTCCTCACCAGGCCCAGCTGGCCCCGGTGCTGGGCCATGCAAGGCACAGTCCCATGCTGTATAGTGCAGGTCCACAAAAATCACCCTCTGCAGTGTCAGAGAGGAGTACAGTGTGCTCTACGGTGCGTGCATGACTCCACTTCTGCTTTAGTCACACCACTGTCGCTCACCAGCATTATCAGAAAGCAACAGCATGTTTGTGCTGTGGTTCCCCCCCTCCTGGTGACGCAGACCCGGTGAACAGGGCGGGTGGCTTTTCTTCGAGGCAGGAGTTGGGGACAGCGTTCTCCTGCACGCCAGAAGCTGCTTTTAACAGCCTTCCTCTCCCCTCACAGCTACTTGCACGCCAAGAACATCATCCACAGAGACATGAAGTCCAACAGTATCCTTTGGAGTCTGAAGCCAGAAAGAAGGGAACTCTGTCAGGATAGCTTTTTGGAAGAGCATTTGGTTGAGAAGAAAAGCTAGTTCGTAGCTGTTTAGATCCAGACCCAAAGTTGCCAAATTCCCAAAATTATTTATAAGTCATCTCTTTGGAGCTCACTGTTAGAAGCAGCCCCTAGGAAGACGTGTGTGTAATAAGGCTCTGCCACCCTAGCTTCTTGGCCAGCAGAAGGGTCCTGGAGATGGATTGGGGGACGTGCTCCTATAGGGTGGCTAAGAGGCTGCATGGCTTTTCAATCATTGAACAGTGGGTGTTTGTAGCCACCATGGGACTCCAAGGCTTCTGCCATGAGAGCATTCAAGTCTCAGGAAGGGATCTGCTAGCCACGCCCACTCAGCTGGCCATGTGCAGCCCCCTAGGGAAGCTCCAGAAGGCAGCCTACCTCACAGAAGGCTCACAAGGCCAGGGAGCCAGAGGACGAGCAGCAGGAGACACTTGAGGATCTAGCACATTTGTTGCACTGGTGGCTTTGGCCAGAGAGAGGTGGCGAGGTGACTGTTACAAGGAACTTTTGGGAGAATTAACTTGACCGACCTTTGGGAGCTAGCGTCCTTAACAAGCATTGAGACATATTTCTCCACGAAGGCTTAACAGTGAAAATTGGAGATTTTGGTTTGGCGACAGTGAAGTCCCGCTGGAGTGGCTCTCAGCAGGTGGAGCAGCCCACGGGCTCCGTGCTGTGGATGGTGAGGAACCTGGGGGGACAGGATCCGCAAACTGCGTCCCCTGCGGGGGTTCCTGTGTTGGCCAGTCCCTGGGGGAAGGGCCCCTAGGGGCTGAGGGATGGACAGCCAGGCCCCATGATGACCGCCGCCCCACCCTCGCAGGCCCCGGAGGTGATCCGGATGCAGGACAACAACCCCTTCAGCTTCCAGTCCGACGTCTACTCCTACGGCATCGTGCTGTACGAGCTGATGACTGGGGAGCTGCCCTACTCCCACATCAACAACCGCGATCAGGTGATGTCCGCGGGCACTTGGTGGGAGCCCCGGACCGCCACTGGGCCCGGGCTGGCCACTCACTCCCGTCTTCCCTCAGATCATCTTCATGGTGGGCCGAGGCTACGCCTCCCCCGACCTCAGCAAGCTCTACAAGAACTGCCCCAAGGCCATGAAGAGGCTGGTGGCCGACTGCGTGAAGAAAGTGAAGGAGGAGAGGCCTCTCTTTCCCCAGGTGAGACCCCGGGTGGAGGGAAGGGACCAGAGGTGCGGGAGGGCGGGTGACAGCAGTATGCAGTGCTTGGAACCCCAGCTAAGAAGGCCCCGCTGTGACCTTGTTTCAGATCCTGTCTTCCATCGAGCTGCTCCAACACTCCCTCCCCAAAATCAACCGGAGCGCTTCTGAGCCATCCCTGCACCGGGCAGCGCACACCGAGGATATCAACGCCTGCACGCTGACCACGTCCCCCAGGCTGCCTGTCTTCTAGTGGACTTTGCACCTGCGCTCAGCCCGGGGAGGAAGGGAAGGCAGCGGCAGTACCTTCCTGTCCCTTGCTCCTGGGGCAGAGTGTGTTTTCTGAGAAGCTGCTGCTAAGGACCTCCTAGAGACGCACAGGCCTTAACTTCACATTGCCTTCTTTTCTAGCCTTTCTGGCCCGTCCTCCTCCCGTCTCCAGCATGCACAGGGGATGCTGACGGCCCTGCAAGATAGTGTTAGGGCAAAAAGAAGTGGATGTCAAGGTTGTGAGCGGACTGGCCCCGCTGTAGGGACATGGGGGTTTGGAAACCAGCTTCTTTTGAGAGACAGCGGTGCAGCGCCAACAGTTTTGCACATAACTCACCAAACAATCCAGGACTGCGGAGATGCGCCTGCTCTATCTCGTACCACGGGACTTGCCTGTCACAGCCCGAGATGTCCAGTGCACACGGTGGCTTTCCAGGCACGGTGCTCTGCCCTCCTGTCCTGGTCCTTGGGAGCAGCCTCCCGTCATGCTGAATTCGTCTTCCAGGGGCGGCCCCTATGGGGCGGGCCGCAGGGCCAGCCCCGTCTCTAGTCACATAATTGTGGATGCAAGGAAGCCAGGAATACAGGTTTTCTTGATTTGGGTTTTAATTTTGTTTTTATTGCGCCTGACAAGATACAGTTATGATGATTCCTCGATTATGTTATTTTAATAAAATAAATTAAATTTAGGTTTAATGGCTGTTAACCCTTTCCTTCTAGAGCTGGGAATGGAACTCTGCTCCTCAGGCCCTTGACTGAGAGCTAACTATAAAAATCAAGCATTCTCAACTCGGGTCTACGCATACTGTAGGGACACATTTTATAAAACATCTCTACAGCATTTTACAAAAATAGATAAGAAAAAAATTCAGGTTTAGAACAAGCTTGTTCTAACTTGCGAGGTCACACGCGTTCTTGTTAGATCAAACGGAGCAAGAACTCTGGCCTCCTTCTCTAAAGCGCTACTGGGCCAGAAACTAGCTCCCGTGTGGCCAAGCCAGGCCTTCCAGGTAGGGAAGGGTGGCCCAAAACTTCACCTGTCAGCTGCACGAGTGGGACACTGAGGAGACTCACGAGGACTGATGGCCCCTCAACAGCAGCTCACTGTTTACACACACTGGGGACCCCACGGAGGAACCTTTGGTAAGAAAATTCAACGTGCTCCGGGGCCAGCTGCGAGTTTACTGTTTCTAAGGAGAACAATCGGGAGCGGAGCCAGGTTTCCTCTAAAGCAAACCGCCCAGCAGCCAGCTGGTCCCGAGGGGCTGGAGGTACAGCTCAGATACCAACTATAAAAATAGTGATGGCGTGTACTTATTAGGTTACTTTATATGCTTCACTCGTCCCAGGGCTGTCATAGGGAGAGTGGAGGAGACCAAGGGTGAGCACAGCCTGGCGCACAGCCTGGCTCACGCCCTGGCTCAGCAACGCCCAAGATGCAGGGACAACCACTGACCCTAGGGTTCTGAGGATTCCACTCCAGAAAGGTGCATGAAGAGGTCCCCAAGCTCTGTCATGTCAACATCTTCAGTGCTGGGGACCTGCCGGGTTTCCCGGTTTTCGATGAAATCCCACAGCCGCACCGAGTTAAAGAACTGCAAGAGACCAACAGGCACCTGGTTAGGCTAGGACCACAGGAAGGCCCCGAGCCCGCGAGCCCCCGCCCCCTGCTCTTCATGGCTGCCAAAGCTGATTGATTTTGGGGGTGGGACAGCCACCAGGGCCGGCCCAGTCCTCACCCTCACGGTGCCTTCAGAACTGAGCTGTTTCCGGGGTTTCTCTGGCTCTGCCAGCCGCCCGTCTGGGTACGCGTGGCGGTAAAGACATTTGCTTCCAAAGGGGCAGGTCCCCTTGCCTTGCTCGAAGTATTTACAAGCTTTTTTCCTGAAAAGAAGAAAACTGAATGAATCGAGGAAGAATGACCAAGTGGGAGAATGCACGGCGCAGGTGGGCTGACCTCTACCGTGAAGCCAGAAGTCATTCACATTTTATAGGTGGGGACACTGAGGCTGGAGAGGTTCAGTGACTTGTTTCGGATTATAAGGAGCCAGGATTCCAAGTTCCCAGCTGGACAACAGCCCTCTCTTGCAGGGCCTTTGAGACTTACACATGCCGGGGGAAGGAGGGGGTGGCAAGAGGGGTGCTTCTGCTGGGCAAGTCACCTGCAGGTGCCCTGAACACACCTCAAGTGCCAAGGGCTAAAACTGGGCCACGTCCATCTGCTCAAATATGCAAACCACGTTTCCCTCCCTCCCGCAGCAGTGTGTCAAGGTGACCATGGGTCAGGAACAGGGAAAGCACTGGATTTTAGCCCTGAATCACAGGCCTCCCTCCCCGCCCCCAGCCCCTCCTCAGCAGTTCCCGCAGGTGTGAAGCTCATGGGCCGTGGGGGGCAGCCGAGGCACAGCGTCCTTTCCGAATTCTGTGCACAGCCCGTGTGTTAACCCTGCTCCTGAGGACTCTCGCTCTAATGAAACTGGGCACCTCCAATCATAAATGACCCTGGAATGCTGAGGAAGGAGGAGATGCAGAGACAGCCCAGGGTGACACAGGGCAGGTGACAGGAAGGACCTTGTGGATCGGACACCAGAGGTGAAGTCCAGACTTTTTAGCAGCTCCCCAAGAGCAGGTGGGGCCCAGGTCACTAGAGGTTCCGTCTGGGCTACCAGGCAGCGAAGCTGAGGTGTCCCAGGAGGCTGGCTCCAGTAAGTTCACCTACACTGTCCCCCCTGTGTCCCGCTGCCTCCCACACAGCACTATTGTTTTTCTTGGTCATCAAGATCCAAAACTCAAGTCCACTTATTCTCAGCTCTCACGTCCAGCTGCACTTAAGTTCACAAAGCACCCCCCAAACACCAGTCCTGCCAGTTCCCACAATGTCCAGGGTGGGGGGGGCTGCGTGCCTGCCAATCCCATCTCCCCCCCCCCACGTGTCCACCCCTTTTACAGAACCTCAGAGGAGCTTCCTCACAAACAGCAAGGGCCCTCCCACCACCATCTAGACCACCAGGGGCATGCTGGACTCCAGATATCAGTCCATCTTTGTCCCTGCAGGTCCCACCACATCTGTCTACACATCTACTCCAACTCCAGGGACAATTCCCATTGCCCCCAGGTGCAAACTCTGTAGCTTTATCCCCCCCATCCAGGTTCGGGGTTCCTGCGCGGCCTCCCTTGCACCTCACATAGACCTGTTTGGGCCTGGGCCACTCATGAAGAATTTGTCACCAGAAAACCTCTATCATAATCGTGCTTTTGTGGTTTCCCGTGACATTATCTTGCCCGTATTCTACACTCCCCCAGGGGTGCTTGGCTGGACAGCCCCTGGTGGGTGCCCAGTAAATGTGTCACACAGCAGCAAAGCAGGAACAATCCCAGGTCCCAACAGCAACAATTTTCAGACAACTCCAGCAGAGCTCCACTGCCCCCTTGTGGACACCCAGTGGGGCGACATGAGGAAAATAGTGGGAAAGGAAAAAACGGGATTTTGGTGCAGCAGCCAAGTAAACTGACCAGACCCTCCTGCTGGCGACTATAAACAAGCACCTCAGAAAGATGAAGGAAAGCAGGAAGGCTCTCTGGGGAGCAGAGAGACCTGGAGAGTGGAATGGCCACGGGGAGGCCTGGGGCAGCACCACTCGGGCAGCTAGAACTCTGGGAAACCCAGTCTGTCTGGCTTCAGGAACCAAAAGACCAGGGCTGAAGACACCAGCCACTGGATGGGAGGACGTGCTCCCACAGAAGGGCCTCAGGAGAAGCACAACCTGGCTAGGTGTCAACTGCTCAAAGCTGGATTATCAGCACGTGGACCCTGCAAACAGAGGCTCAGGGCACGTGATGATGCAAACACGGAACCGAGATCCCCACGGCTGCCGTTTCCCAGACAGCCCAACAGAGCCAGCCTGTGACGTACATGTACAACACCAGGGACCCAAGAATCACCAGACTCCAAGCCCCAAATAACAAGGATTTCAAAGCAGCCATAACATCTGAAAAGAACAGAGCCTACGGCACAATATCCAAAGGGCAGTCACATGCGATTAGAGCACAAAAACAGCGTAGGACCCAGGCACCAGGGCACATGCCTGTCATCCCAGTGGACCAGGAGGCAGAGGCAGGAGGATCGCAAGTTCGAAGGCAGCCTCAGCAAGTTAGGCTGTAAGCCACTCAGCAGGACCCCGGATCCCGTCTCTAAACAAAATATAAAACAGGGCTGGGATGTGGCTGGTGCTCAAGTGCCCTGGGTTCACTCCCTGGTACAAGGGAAGGTGTGGGGTGGGGAAGCAGGAAGAAATGGTCAAAATATCCATAATTTTGTACTGGTGAATGGTATTCAAAGAATACCAACCAGTACAGCAGGAAGAAAAACACTCTTAAGCAAAATGTCCAAAAGCCAAAAACCAGGACAAAGTGAAAACCTTGAAAGCAACTGAGGGCCAGGAGAGGGACAGTAACTTGAGAAAATGACAAGGGTATCCCCAACTTCTCAGAAACCAGAGGTGCTGCAAGACAGTTGCAATGCACTGAGAAAATTCTACCTACTGTGTGAGGAGACAAAGGCAGAGAGACCAATCAGACCAACATATTGCATAAACATCCTTGAAGAATGGAGGGAAAAAAACCAGCCATTTGGCAAACACCTGTGAAGTCAGTGACTCATGAGGCTGAGGCAGAAGGATCACAGGTTCAAAGCCAGCCTCATCAAGTTAGCGAGACACCAACTCAAAAATAAAAAAGGGCTGGGGATGTAGCTCAGTGGTACTATGCCCCTGGGTTTAACCCCCAGTACCACACACACACACACACACACACACACACACAAAAAAAAGCCATTTATGATTTTTTTTTTTTAAGAGATCAACAGAGCAACAAAATGTTAGAAGCGGTTCTTGAGGCTAAAGGAAAACAGAAGGAACTCAGTTACCCCTTAGTGGTCACAGAACGAAGGGGTTCCAGGATTCCCCTTGAACACCAAGCCCATAGCACTGAATGACAGACCTTTGCACATCCTGCCACACACATTAAGTCACCCAGGTTATTTACAATGCAAACGCTATGCAAACTGTTGTCACACTGAATGACAACAACAGGGAAAAGCCTCTCCTATTCAGTGCAGATTAGACTTTGCTGCGCTGGGATGGGACCCAGGCCACATGGAGCAAGGCAAGGGCTCTCCCTGAGCCACATCCCCAGCCCAGACACAATTTCTTTTTCCTAAATATTTTCAATCGGTTGAATCTACAGGTGGACCCAGGGCTGACTGTGCATGTCAAAGGAAAGAGCGTCAGGAAGTCAGGATCGGGAAAATACGCACCCAGCTGTGGGTTCCATGCCCAGGTGGAAAAAAAGGGCTGGTGGGTATGAGCTTGGAGACCATGTTCAGGGGCTGGGGACAGAGCTCAGGTGGCAGAGCACTTGCCTCATATGCACAAAGCCCTGGGTTCACTGCCCAGCAGTAGCACAAAAACAACAAAAAACTATTTAAATGTGATTCTAAAAACTATTCAGAACTGTCAAAATTGGGAAACAGCACACTGTCCATCAACAGAAGAACGGGTGAGCTACGGCGGACAGCCTGCTATCTATGGCTGTGACAGGTGCCATGGTAGTGGCTGGAAGGGTGGCCCCCAAAAGACAGTCCAAAGGCTAAGCCCTGGGATCCGAGTGTGACCTGCTTTGGACGATAGTAACTAATG